GCATCCGTCATGTTGAGCTCTTACGTATGCGGATGCACCGCAAGGGACTGCCCTCGGCGGATGAACTCAAGGACAGGCAGCACTGGCAACACCAGCGACTCTAGACTACTTCATGGATGTAGCATTCTTCCTTTTGTTGTACCACGATCAGATTGTCGCAAACCGGATTTTATACCAGGAAGGTTGAAGGGTGCTTATAAGGGCAAGCCCCTACTTTGGAATAAATCCACTCTTAAAATTCACAAGCTGAAAATCACTTGTTCCCTTTTTTGGTGACACAAAATGTGTTAGCTTGCTGAAGGTCCTCGAACTGAGTTAGCCAAACTGCAGTGTCAGTTTGCATTTGTGATCAAGCAAAAGACATTTGCTTAACACCAGCGGAATGAGATCCGACTTCGGAATCGAACCAGTTTGGGTCGGAATGAGATTTGGGCTCAGTGCCATTAGCTGCTAAGCTGAATTGGATTCACTAATGATTGCATTTTTGCACAATTAGAACAGTTCGTTTTGGCTGAATCACTTGGTGATTCATCGACTTTGGAGGCCATAACCAGTGTCGTTTTCCCATAGGACCCCAGGTAGATTTCACCCGTCATGAACTAAATCCACCATTCGTGAAATCGAAATACAACTTTGTGAAAGCGTAGTGTCACCCTTGATAATTTTGGCTTCTGTGGCTCACATTACATAGCATGCACATATAATGTAATGTGTTCCTGAACGTCCGATGGAATGTACTCTTACGCATGTTCATCATGAAGATATGGCATATATCACCATATTTTCACTGTGTTATAATGTAGCTTTGTCGTTGTTTGACAAAACTTTATAGTGTAGTTGTCAATTTTGGACAATTTCTTCCTTTAATTAGATCATTTGAACGACATGAAATGCATTGAGCGAGGACGAAGCCGAAATAAGGAACGAATGCATATATATATATATATATATATATATATATATATATATATATATATATATATATATATGTATATATACATACATATATATATATGCATATATATATATATATATATAATGTATGTATGTATGTATGTATGTATGTGCGTGTGTGTGTGTGTGCGTATATAAATAATATAATATAAATCATGCATACTATATTTAGTATATAGGACATAATAGAGAGAGAGAGAGAGAGAGAGAGAGAGAGAGAGAGAGAGAGAGAGAGAGAGAGAGAGAGAGGAGAGAGAGAGAGAGAGAGAGAGAGAGAGAGAGAGAGAGAGAGAGAGAGAGGAGAGAGAGAGAGAGAGGAGAGAGAGAGGAGAGAGAGAGAGAGAGAGAGAGAGAGAGAGAGAGAGAGAGAAGAGAGAGAGAGGGAGAGAGAGAGAGAGAGAGAGAGAGAGAGAGAGAGAGAGAGAGAGAGAGAGAGAGAGAGATATATATATATATATATATACATTTATATATATATATATATATATATATATATATATATATTAAGGCATAACATAACTGTGTCGGTGTCAGACATGCATTCAGCTCCATTTGCTTTGATTCTCATTTGGGATCGTTTCTGCCCTTGGCGTGATCAAGCGCACGTGCCTGTCGGGTGCAGATGGGACAGCCTGGTAGGAGGGATGGGTAACGGTGGGTAAGTCCTGAAGGCCGACTGAGCAGGAGGTGAGGGTCGTCCCGCCCCCGAGAGGCCTGCTGGTTGTGGAGCGGCCCGAACCTTAGGGACGGGTGAGCGCGAGGGGTGCGTCCCCCAGGAGGAGGCCTGCCGGCGGTGGATGAGTCCAGAGGGACGGGTGAGCGCGAGGGGTGGGTGCCGCGGGAGGAGGACTACGGTTTTGATGAGTTCAGAGGGGCGGGTGAGCGCGAGAGGTGGGTGCTCAGGGCGGAGGCCTGTGGTCTTTGATGAGTCCAGAGGGACGGATGAGTGCGAGCGGTGGGTGCCCCGGGAGGAGAACTATAGTGTTTGATGAGTCCAGAGGGGCGGGTGAGCGCGAGCGACACGCCCCTGGGAGGAGGCCCGGCTGTCAGCGCCGTCTCGCACCGCTGGCCCCGGCTACCGCCCGGCCCGGCCTCGTGTCGTCGCCTGTGGTACCGTTGCGTCGTTTGCACAGCCGCCCGGACTTCACTGAACAGTTATGGCCGACATGTGCAGAAAACTCACACCTGAGATGGGTGTCGGCGGAAGCGCAGCGCTTCCGCATTTGCGCGGTTTCGGCGCGAGTTAATGCGCGCGCTGTATGCGGGCCGCACCAAACATGGCGGGAATCCGGTAGCGTCACTCGCACATTGCCAGCTACGCACGCCGCCGAGCAGACGGGCGCACCGGTACAGAACACGGCGCTGCCGTAACGGTGCCGCGCGTCGCTGCCGGTGGGCGCACCTGAGCAGTGCCGGTTGGATGGGCGGCGGCATGGATGGTCGCTCGACGCTGATGGGTGGGGTGTGTGACGCGTCACGGACGCCCGGAAGCGTGACGTAAAGCAGTGGACGGCTGCGAGAGAGAAATGCCTGGCTGATGACGATGAAACGTCCCGCGTTCCGTCTGGAGGTACACCCTGCTTCTCACGATCACTGCAGGGCTGCTGCTACACGTGAAAGTGCTGGATTAAGGTTAGATTTCGCTTGCAGCTGGACGCTTATGAGTGCTAGCTGTCTTCATGTGCTGCAGTGAGAAGATGGAAATTGTGATGGAGTTTTGCTAGGACGCACTGGCATTGCATGGACCATGGCTTGGACCGAGGTCCCCCTCCCACACATATACCATGTAATTGGAAACATGGTATGTGTGAGAGGGGAGAGGCCGTGAGACGTCATATGTGGACAGGTGGCTTTTTCAGTTGTCAGGTGGTTACGAGCGTCACGGCTGTGTATTTCTATTTGTACTCCACTGACCAAAAATAATTGGACTTCGAAATAATGAGAAGCATTCTTGTCAAATTTCAAGCTTTCCATAATTATGATGTGGCCGTGGCGCAAAAATTATTACTCTATTACAACAAATATTTGCCCGCCTCTCTCGTAGAAATTTCGACTTACGTGGCATGTTTGGATGCTATAAACATACAGAGGTAAAACAGCATATACAAGGACGGGGTTATTTGAGAGGGCTTATCTTTTGGTTACAGAGGTACCAGATGAGCGTTTTGTGGCTGAGTTTTGCGAGCTTTGCATTGTTGTCAAATCGCGAATATTTTATAGCAAAATATATGCGATGTATCGCATTATACCTATCAACTAAATAAGTAACTAGTAAGCTCGTTCCTTGTGCAGGTGCTACAAATTTCAGAACCTTTTCGCGACAATTTTTACAATAGGCACAATATATGGCGACGCGTTACAATTCTAAGGACGCTGACCACATCTCAACTATTGAGACTTTTTTGGGAGCCCTGATCGTCAATTACTCCTGGCAGTTAATGTTATGCTTTGCCAGGCAAACTGCCAGACCAAGCTACCATTCAGAACATTACTGCGTTTTTCACTTATGTAGAGAGAACAGAACAAGTGAAGGAAAAGCCAACCATTTTTTTTGTTGTTGTTGACGAACATAACTGCCTCTCTCTCTACCTGTTATGTTGGCGCGCTTTAGGCACCAATGGATTGAACACCCTGCAAACCATGTTCAACTTAAGTTGTAATGCGGCAGCAATCGTACCACCTGCTGGTGGATGTGCCAACTGGACGAAGCCCCACTCACTGGCAGCCGCCGCTGCAGCTGCCGCCATCTCACGGCTGGTGCCGCCGCGTCTGTCGTCGACGGGCCCCGTCGGCAGCCGGGGCTAGCGGTACCACTCCGGCACCGTTCCCGCCCCAGCTCCGAGCGTGGTCGGTGTGAGTGTGGACCGTCCGGGCGGCCGAGCGTGGCGACCGGATCAGGCGCCGGCGCTGCTGCCTGCCTGCGCAGAGCGTCGCCGCTCGGTCCGCTCTGGCGGAGGTGCCGTCCACCCGGCAACGCTCCGGCCCACGTGCGGCAGAGAGGCACACCGGGTAGAGCAGCGGCGGCCTGGTACTTTCCCCGCGCTTACATTTCGCCGGCGGCTGATCAACTTTTCGTCGTCGCACGACGTTCACCAGTGCGTATGGACGGAGGATCCCAGTCCCTGTCACCCTCGGACGCCGTGATACCAAAGGGTCGCAGCTGCGTGTCGCGGCTGCACCTGCTTGGGAGGTCACATTCTTCCGCGGCCCCGCACGGCGGTAAGGAGGCCCACACATTAATTGCGTCCACGTCACGGTCGCTGACGTATGAGCCCGTTTGTGAATACTCTAAGGCCGCTGGATGCATACGCAAAGCTTACCACTTGGTCCGATTTGTAGGTGGGGGCATTCGGATACTCCATGCAGCTTTTTATAGTGCTATCATTAGTCATGATATATTGTTCAGGTGAATACATGGCAAGGGGACACGCACCATTTTATTGTTCTGCAGATCGGGAGGAATCCCGTCAAGGAGAAACTTCGTTTTCAGAGGCCCGCACGGGAAGCCTGCCACTGTTTTCCGCAAATGCGTACAGACAAAACAGATCCATGACTGCCTATTTTAGCACATGTGTAAAAAATCGTGGCATCTCTTCATGAATCTTATCATGCAATGCTCATCGCAAGCATTTGATCTTAACGCTGTCATATTTCTACGAATGGGCATCTTCACCTCGGGCCGTGCGGGAACCGGGCGGACCAGCGGTGGGTCGGTATAGGGGTGCTGCTCGTACTTTCTGGGACTCAAGCTGCCGTCAACGTACCAGAGCACTTGGTCCTGCCCACTCGGCCACAAAGGCGTCACGATATGATTTTTGAGGCGGTCCACATTCTAGAATTGGTCCAAAGTCAACATTGAGCATTGTAATCGTAAATGCATGCATACTTTTCAGGAGGTATTTGAACGTTCCGGGATTTTTGTCACACTGCTTTGGGTACATAAATGTTTGCTAACCCGGGTATTTGATTGTCCGGAACAGCAGACATTCCAGATCAGAATATTGGAGCATTTCAAATCAAAATGCCCAACTCTGGCATGCACCCACCCGGTGTCTTCCAGGGTTCATTCCCACTTCGGCGTCCCTGTACTTGAGTTCTGCCAGAACGTCGAGGCCGCGGTCCGCCTGACGCATAATCCCGGCAATGGGCGGTGACCGCCGGTCGGAAGTGAGTCATTTCCTGCCGCGTTTTAATGTGCCTCGCGCAAAAGGCTGCGCTTGGGAATGTCCTTCCAGTGTATTGAGGAAGAAAACATCCATGGCGGGAATATTAGGCGGTGATGGAAACTGCACATTTCCTTAGCGTATCGTAGCGGTAAACTGGCACTTTGCTATCAAAGTTGCGGTGACAATAAGGTCCAATTGTTATGACTCATGCCCTGTCGTGGGAAGTTTGAGCCACTCAAGGTCAAGGGCCATTTAAGGTGTGATCCATAATTTGATTTGATATTTAAATTCGAATTTGCGCACGTCAGGAGGCAACTCCACACAGTATGTCCTATTCTCAGCCTATGACTCTTCTCAGCCCCGTATCCGACAATGCATAAAACGGTGTGTCAAGTGCTTAACGCTCACAGACATCACAAAGCATGCACTCGGTCACACATAGTAATGCTAGCAGAGCAGTCAGTCACCTCATGAGTACCGCGCTGCCTTGGTATCATATGGCTTCGGATCCCGATCTTAAAATGCGACGTCGTATCATGTGGCTTCGGATCCCGATCTTAAAATGCGACGTCGTATCATGTGGCTTCGGATCCCGATCTTAAAATGCGACGTCGTATCATGTGGCTTCGGATCCCGATCTTAAAATGCGACGTCGTATCATGTGGCTTCGGATCACGATCTTAAAATGCGACGTCTTATCATGTGGCTTCGGATGCCGATCTTAAAATGCGACGTCGTATCATGTGGCTTCGGATGCCGATCTTAAGATGCGACGTCGTATCATGTGGCTTCGGATCCCGATCCTAGAATGCGACGCACACACACCTTGTGCGCATGGTCGCCGGCAGATCATCTCTCCGGCTCTGGACGCAGGTGGCCGCGTGCGCAGTTCATGGACACCAGTCGCGTCGCCTGGTGACGTCCGCGGGCGGGAGGCCGGCTGGCGACGGGCCCGCATCCGCCGGTGACCGGCGGCCGTCAGCAGAGCCGTCCCCGGTGCAGGGCTCAGCTGACGGCGCAGTCAGCTGGCGCGGCGCTGGGCCGGTCCGGCCGGGTGGAACGGGCCAGCGCGTGGCACCACTAGATCCGGCAGTCGGAGCCGAGCTGGCGGCGGGAGGGGCGTGCGAGCAGGGCAGCTGCGGATAGCGTCGGTCGCGTGAGACGAGGGCACAGACGGCCAGCTCTAGTTCAGGTGAGGAACAGGTCGGGCCTGGGATCTGTATATCGAATGGTTAGACCTGCGTGGACGACGCGGCCTGGACGGGTGCTTGGCTTGTTTGTGGATCTAATTCATGATAGCGGTGCGATACGTCTCGCATGCCGTCGATGAAGTGCGTCTCACACCACGTGATTTCGTGCAATAACGACGACGCGGGCCGGCTACGGATTTCGTTCTCCGTGGCGGGGCTAGGCGAGAACAATTAATCTGGCAGTTGGGGCAGCAGCCTGAACGAATCCCTTTGCATAAGTAAACGACAAAATAATGGTCACCCCGGTTGAAGCTATTTGGCCCTTGCGGTATAATGTTCGCTTCACCCTCGCTAAGTAAAGCCACCTGCACCGGCGGATGACAGCGCCCTGCGGTCCGCGTGGGCGGCGGCTTCTGTTGCGTCACGCCCAGCGGACCAGAAGACCGGCCTGGGGAGGGGAGGGGAGGGGGAGGAACTCACTGGTCAGCGCCGGTGAGAGCCGTCGAGCGGCACGGCGTTGTGCGTCCCACCGCTCACCATCGCGCCGCACGGCATCACTGCTCATCATCACTCCCCATTATCCCACCGCTCACCATCCAGGCCAACGTCATCACCGCCGCTCTCATTTCACAGCATCCACCGCTCATCATTCCGCGCTCATCATCTGGTTCCGTGCATTGACCACTGGCGGGCAGGGTCAGCCGGCGCGTGACCCCACTTTGTTCCTGGGCGCGCCGTTGTCAGCCGGACTAAGCTTCCTTGCCGCCTGCAGTCTTGTCGATCGCTCAACGCTCGGGTCACCGACCCGCGCGACACCGAGCCGTGCTCGCAGGCGACCGCATAAAACAGCCGGGGACAGCGCGACGCTTGCGACATTGTTGCGTACTCGCCCGCAAGCGACGGACATGGTCAGCGTCAGAGGACCGGAGCGCTTGTTGAGAGACTGGGCACGCAGCATTGCGGGGCAACTGCAAGGGTCTCTCTCCTCACATCTCCTAAGCACGCATGGAAATGAGGCCCCATTTTTCGACTCTGTCTAGCGGAGTATGTCAGGTTTACAGCTTCACTGTCGAGATGCACTCCTCGACCTTTCCATGTGAGTACCGTTAACGTCATTTTGTCGGCGCTCGCGACCTTTCCGTTGGCATCCTAATAAGCCGAGCCATTTTGCCGACCGCCCGCCATCTGGGAGAAGCTGGACCACGTTATTGTTCGAAGCGATCCCGCGGGTCAGGCACGCATCCTTCACACATCCTTCATCGATAATTTCGCGATGTGACCAGGTGCGTAAAGGATCTTAATTTGTGAACTTGATCTGACGGTAGCCCGATGTATCATGCTTGATGAAATCTGATGCTTGATGAAATCTATCACTATCTGATGAAATTCCCTGACTGGGTTGATGAAGCGTGACTCACATGTTCAATGTGCACCGGTTGTACAACTCTTGCAAGGTCAAATACCCCGTGATGTTTACGGTTAGGGTATCCGGTTTTATACTCTGGTCAACATGCCGTGCCAGATATCTATTCATGCACGTGCGCACGGGGTGAACCCTTCCATCTGATGGATCGAGCACTCTGAGAAGGCCAAAAAAGAGTTATTACCTTGACGTATGAACTTTGAAAAGCGGGGAGGCAGCCGGTGCGCTTAGCTCTGGGTGATCCTTTTTCGCACGGCTGGAGCTACATCTCTGGTGCATTTCGTAGCTTCTCTGGACTATGAGGAAATCGCGGTACGTTCAGCTGTTATTTCAGATGAATGTGGCGCGCAATGCCGTGACCGGTTCGCACATTTTTTTCTCTGTTATTGAAACAAAATGCTGAGTTCTATATCACTGGACACAGGAGACAAAACCTGAATAATCCTTGCACACCTTAATGCCACGAACCACTTACAACATACCTGGAAACACGAGGGGCCGCGCGAGAGCCGGCCGTGGGACGAGACGCACAGAGCGGCCGCAACCGTGACCCCAGGCGCGCGGCTGGGGTTCCAAGGCCAGACGGCTAATGGCCGCTCTTCTGACCAGAGCAGGTTTGGCCGCCGCATACCGCGAGGCCGTCCTGGGCCACGTGCAAATCCGATTAATCTTGCCTGCACACTGATTGGCCACTGGCACATCGCGACGACCAGTCAGAGGACGCCGGCGTGACGGGGATTAGTCATTCTAAAGCTCCTGTAGCTTTTTGGGCATTGTGTTTGGCTTATCGTTGTACCGGAACTTTTATTGTCATTTTTCGCCGCCGAATGGCAGTCGATAGCTCTGCAGAAAAGGCTCATCGATGTTGCAGAACTATCTGCAAATACCAGTGGCGAAATAGCGCTGACAGGATGCAAACAACAACAAACGAGCGCAGTTTTGTCGATTATTGCCCGCCTCCGGCAATTGCGTGGGGCTTGGCGAGGGTTACATTATGACTTAATAGGCACACATTTACGTTTAACCGTGCATGCAGTTAATCTTTCATCCTGTAATAAAATCTTGTTTGCGCTTTTCGGGACCATGACAATTGCGACCATGTTTGCGAGACAAGCTTGCACAAAATCAATGTACCGAAAAGGCCAGCCCACGCGGCGTAATCCTGTGACGCGCAGTGCTAGTCAGCGCGACGGGACGCATGAAAGTCGAGGGCCAAAGAACAGGTATTCCCTGGACGTCTGAATTTTAAAAAACGGAGCGGTGGCCGGTGCGCTCAGCTCTGGGCGCTTCTGGCACCGATCAGCTGGTGTGTAGAGCGTCTGCCATCGCGGCGGGCCGGCACAGCGACTCTGTGTCCGATCCGTTGAAGGCGTGACGGGCCGGCCGCCGACACATGGCCGGCGGCGCTCACACCGGTGTCCGCCGCGGCCTCGGGGCACCGTATGGCATCGGTGAAACCGGCCGGCTCAGAGCACGCAGCGACCGTGAAACGCGCCCGCAGCCTGTCGCCCTCCCAGACGAGAGCACGCGACAACGGCAGCGAAACCTGACGCGCGCCGGCTGGCGCCCGCGCCCCACCCGTGGAGGCGGCGGCACGCAATGAGAGCGGCGCACGCGAGCCAGTGCCGCATGCTCGCGCCGCACCGAGGAACGTGGGTCCACGGCGCCGGCCTGGATGCGGCGACCCCGCTCGCCGTCCCGGGAGTTCAGTGTCCCTCGCGCTGGAGGTGGATGCGCGCCGATACCGGTGTCGATGTGAAGGGCACGTCGGTACAACAATGGCCAATCTAAAATCCGCCGGCGTGCCGACCCTTGTCGGAGCGTGGGAAATCGCCACCGGCGCCGGCTTCCTCCGCCCGCTCTGATTTTAGCTCGACCCTGGCCATTTTCTGCACCCTTGGCGCGCTCTTTTTGTCCTCTGTGGCTTTTATTCGTACGGTGCGTGTGGGCGAGCCTCGACGCTCCATAATTCACCCCGCCTGCTCTAAAACTGGGCCGAATGTGGGTCACCGGACGTGTTATCTCCGCCATCTGTGCGCAACAATAGAGCTCGTAAAGCGCCTGTCGGGAACGGGCACTATAACAAGGACAGGCGCCCTCTTTGTCCCAAAGCTCTTCCCACGGAACCTGGAAAGAGGGCGGCCCTGAACGTTCGTGGGCGCCGGCCCTACGGCGGCACCTACACGCGCCGGGTCTCTGCGCAGGTGGCGGCCTCCTGCCTCGACCCTGCGGCAGCGGTCAGCGGGTCCGTATCGATTGCTGTAGTAACTGCTGCAGTCTTCTGTTTCGAAGCTGCAAGACAGTGGTCAGCCTGTCTGCCAGGGCCGCTGCAGTCTCCGCCGCAGTCTTTTGTT